TGGGAGGAGGTTAGTGTATCCTCTACTCACTCTTCCACCATCTTGGATCTTCTCGGGAATTTAGAATACTTTAAATTTCTTGCTGTCATAAACACAGCTGCTGTGAACATCCCTGTATATTTTTCATGGTTATATGTGCAAGAGTTTCACTAGTAAATACCTAAAAATGGAACTGCTGTGTTGAAGAATATATACATCTTTACTAGATACTGCCAAATTGTGCTGTAAAATGTTACACTAATTTATAGTCATATTAGTAGTTTCTGAGTTTGTATTGTTCCATATTCTTACCAATACTTGAGGTAGCCATAGTTTTATTTTTTTAATAATCTGATGCATATGAAATTATATCTCATTTTTTATTTGAAATTTCTTGATAACTAGTGAGAATATTTTTTGTGTTTATTGATCATTTTGGTTTCCTCTTCTGTGAATAGCTTATTATTAGCAGATGACCATTTTTATATTATTTCATTGTTCCTTTCTTATTGATTTGTAAGAATTTTTAATAAATTCAGAATATTAACTCTTTCAGTTATACATTTCACAGTTATCTTCTCACTGTCTATGATGTGCCTTTTAACTTTGCTTTCGATGTCCTTTGTTGAACCAAGGTTATTAAATTTTTTTATTTAGCTATATTTTCAATCTTTTAATTTATTAATTATTTTTATTACCTTTTTAGATAAATTTTCCTATTATAAAATTATAAAGATAATTCTACATTGTCTTCTAAAAATATTGCCAGTTTGATTTTCATACTTAGCTGCTTTGTGAAAGCAGCAGAATTTAGTTGTATAGTAGATGGTATGATTTTTGAACCTAACTTTTTTTTCCCAATAAACCAGCAAATTACCTGACCTCCATTAATGTCCTCTGCCTCAGGATTTAAAATGTTACCTCTGACATATGTCGGATTTCCATGCAAGTGTAAATTTTTTTCCTAGGCTCTCCATTCTGTGCAATTAAACCATTTGTCTTTTCTGCTATAATACCAGAGTGTTAGGTACTTTAGTTTTAAAGTAAAACTTGATGGGCCACAGACACATGAAAAGCTGTTTAACATCATTAATCATAAGGGAAATGCAAGTCAAAACCACAATGAGATATCACTTTACACCTGTCTGAATGGCTAGTATCAAAAAGATAACATAGAATAAGTGCTGCCAATAATGTGGAGAAAAAAGAATTGTGCACTGTTAGTGGGATTGTAAACTGCCACTCTGCCACCACTATGGAAAACATAATGAAGATTTCTCAAAAATTTAAAAATAAAACTACCATATAACCCAACAATCCCACTTCTAGGTACTTATATGAAGAAATCGGAAACACTAGACTATTATTTACAATAGCCAAGATTTGGAAACAACCTAAGAGTCCATCAATAGGTGAATGGATAAAGAAATGGTGCATATGTACAATAGAATATTACTCAGCCATAAAAAGGATAAAATATTGACATTTAAGATGGACCTCAAGAGGTCTTACGCTAAGTAAAATGTCAGACAGAGAAAGGCAAATACCTTGTGATTTCACTTATATGTGGAATCTAAAAACAAAACAAAATAAAACAGAAACAAAGTGGCGGTTGCTAAGCGAAAGGGAATGGGAAGATGGGTGAAAAACATGGAAGGGACAAAGTACAAACTGCCACTTATATTAGAATAAGTCACAGGAACATAAGGTACAGCACAGAGAATATAGTTAATAATATAATAACTATGTATGATATTACATAATTCCTAGATTTATCATGGTGATCATTTCATAAGGTATATAAATGTCTAATCACTATACTGTACAACTAAAATTAATATATTGTATGTCGACTGTAATGTAAAATAAAATTTAAAAAAAGAAAATAAAATGATATCTGGCATAGTAAGTTCTCCTTGGTTCTTTACCTTTTCTTATGAATTTTAAGTTTACCATTTCAAGATTAATGCAAAAAAAAACTGTTGAAATTTTTATTTAAAGATTGACCTGGAAAGAACTAACATTTTTATGGCATTGAGTTTTGTTATTATTATAAATGGAATTTATTCTATGACATATTCTAAATATCAATCACTGCTGAATACTGGATGTTGTATTTTGGTCTTAATTCCAACAAATTTGCTGGACTTTGTTCGTTATAATATCTTGTCTGAAAAGCCTCATCATTTTTATGTGCATCATCTACAATTTAAAAAACTTGTCTCTTTCAATCTTTATGTACTGTTTACTTTTTCTTTTCTTTTTGCACTAGATACAGTTGTCAGTATAATGCTGAATAGAGCTGCCAGTGGCACCCTTGTCTTATTTCTCTCTTAATAAGACAGTTTCTAAAATACCACTGTTAAATATGATGTATGTCTGACACAGCAATTCTTTATCAAGTCAACAAAAGTATATCCTATTTGCAGATATGAATTCTACAATCTCTGCAATTATTTCCCCTTGTCTGTCCACAACATTATTTTTTATATTTATCATTTGTTGTTCTTAATCCAGCTAAAATTTTTATAATTTTTTGTTTTTCTAAAGTACTAATTTTTGGTGTATTGATTTGCTCTACTATTGTTGGTTTTCTGGTTTCATTTATGTATTTCATCTATTATTTCCTTCTAGAGTGAAAGAATTATCTGTTTTGTCTCTATTTTATTCATTTCTTTTAATCTTTACTACATTTTAATAAATGCATTTATGACTCTGCAAAGTATTTTAGTTGTATTCCATAAGTTTTGACATCTAGTACCTCTAGTACATCTAGTACAATCGTTGCTTAGTACTAAATATTTCATTACCATTACGATTGCTTTTTTAACATGAGATTTTAAACATGATTTGTTGAGGAGGTTGCTTTACTTTTTTGTAGTGTATTTTATTCTGTTTATATGTTTTTATTGAATTTATTAGGTAGACATCAGTTAATAAAATTATATAGGTTTCAGGTGTACACTTCTATAAAACATTATCTGTATAAGTATTGCATGTTTACCATCCCAAGTCAATCTTTTTTCATCACCATATATTTTCCCTTTACCCTGTTCGATCTCCCCCACACTGCCCTTTCCTTCTGGCAGTCATCATACTGTTGCTTGTATCTATGAGATTTTTAGGTTTTCTTCACTTAAACCCTTCACTTTTTTCAACCAACACCACATCCCCTCCCCTCTGACAGCTATCAGTCTGTTCTGTCTCTAGTAGTCTGTTTTCATTTGTTTGTCAGCTTATTTTGTTCCTTAGGTTCCATGTATAAGTGAAATCATATGGCACTTGTCTTTCTCTGACTGGCTTACTTCACTTAGCATAATACTCTCCAGGTCCATCCAATTGCTTTAATTTTTTTTCTTTTAAATTATATTTTATTGATTATGCTGTTAAGAGTTGTCCCAGTTTTAATCCCTTTTTCCCACCCACCCAGCACCCCCCAACTCCCTCAGGCAATCTTTATCCCTTTGTTCATGTCCATGGGTCATGTGTATAAGTTCTTTGGCTACTCTATTTCCTATTCTGCACTTTACATCCCCATGGCTATTCTGTGACTGCCAGTTTGTTCTCCTTAATCCTCTCACTTCTTCATCCATTCCCCACAAACCCACTCCCTTTTGGCAACCACCAAAGTGCTCTCTGTATCCATAATTCTATCTCTGTTCTTTTTGTTTGCTTACTTTGTTTTTTAGATTCAATTGTTGATAGATATGTGTTTATTGCCATTTTATTGTTCACAGTTTTGATCTTTTTCTTTTGGTTAAATAAATCCCTTTAACATTTCATATAATAACAGTTTGGTGATGATGAACTCCTTTAGCCTTTTTCTTTTCTGGGAAGCACTTTATCTGCCCTTTGATTCTAAATGATAGCTTTGCTGAGTAGAGCAATCTTGACTATAGGTCCCTGCTTTTTATGACTTTGAATATTTCTTGCCAATCCATTCTAGCCTGCAAAGTTTCTTTTGAGAAATAAGCTGACAGTCTTATGGGAACTCCTTTGTAAGGAATTGTCTGCTTTTCTCTTGCTGCTTTTGAAATTCTCTCTTTAACATTTGACATTTCAATTATGATGTGTCTTGATGTGGTCCTCTTTGTGTCCATCTTGTTTGGTACTCTCTGTGCTCTCTGGATTTGCATGTCTACATTCTTCACCAAATTAGAATTTTGTTTCATTATTTTTTCAAGTAGATTTCCAATTTCTTTCTTTTTCTCTTCTTCTGGCACTCCTATGATATGAGTGTTGATACACTTAAAGTTGTCCCAGAGGCTTCTTACACTATCCTCATTTTGTTTAATTCTTTTTTCTTCTTATTATTCTAATTAGTTGTTTATTGTTTCCTTATGTTCCATACCATTGATTTGATTCTCGGCTTCATCCATTCTACCATTGATTCCTTGTCAATTGTTCTTTATTTCCATTAGTGTATCCTTCACTTCTGCCCCAGTCTTTTTTATGCTGTTGAGGCACTCACTAAGTTCCTTGAGCATCCTTTTAACCAGTGCTTTGAACTCTGCATCTGATAGATTGTTCATCTCCATTTTGTTTAGTTCTTTTTCTGGAGTTTGAATCTGTTCTTTCATTTGGGGCATGTTTCTTTTTCCCTTCATTTTGGCAGCCTCTCTGTGTTTGTTTCAATGTGTTTGGTAGAGCTTCTATGACTCCCTGTCTTTTTAGCATGGCCTAATGCAATAGGTGTCCTGTAGGGTCCAGTGGCACAGCCTGTCCTATCACCCAGGCTGGGTACTCAAGATGCGCCCTCTATGTGGGATGAGTATACCCTCCTCTTATAATTGAGCCTTGATTGCTGTTGGCAGGTCAATGGGAAGATATAGCCAGGCCAGTCAGCTATAGGGACTGGCTGTGACCACTGACCACCAACCTTCACCCATGGGAAAGGACAGCTGCGCATGGGCAGAGTGGTGATGTTCCTGCATGGTCTGTAGCTTTCCACTGGGTGCACAGGCTCTGGGGTTTCCTAGTTGGTGCAAACCAGGATCAGACCCCACCTGTGTTCTGCCTAGGGCCACCCAGCATGAGCTACAACAATCTCCAGATGGCTGCTACTTGTGCTAATCTTGAAGGTTTCCAGACAAAGCCAAACGGTGATCTAAAGCTGGCTGCTGCTAGTGCTGTGCTTTCAGTCACTGTGCTTTTTGTGGTCCAGGTTCCAGGTTGGGGGCACCCAAGTGGCAACCAGTCAATGTTTCTCCTGCATATGGATGCTTCTCTCCCTCTCTTTTTTCTCCTTCCCCCCTAAAATTAAATAAATAAATTTTTAAAACATCTCGCTATGTCTAAGAATTTATAAGTTTCTCTTTGTAACTGTTCATTTTTGTTTTACCTATTTCAAGGTTGTATTAAATGCATCCTAATTTATTATATTTTTCTTGTTGAATCATTTCATGCAGTATTCTTTATTTACAGTAATCCCTTGATGCTTTAAATTCTTTTGTGCCTGCTATAAACAACACTATAATAGCTTTCTTTTATTAATATGTACATTATAACTCTTTTTCCATCCTTTTATTTTCAATCTTTTTATGATTCTTTTTTCTTAAGATTTTATTTATTTATTTATTTATTTATTTATTTATTTATTTATTTATTTTTTAGAGAGAGGGGAAGGGAAGGAGAAAGAGAGTGGGAGAAACATGATGTGTGAGAGAATCAGCAATTGGTTGCCTCTTTCACAGCCCCAACTGGGGACCTGGCCTGCAACCCAGGCATGTGCCCTGACTGGGAATCAAACCGGTGACCTTTGGTTCGTAGGCCTGTACTCAGTCCACTGAGCCACACCCACCAGGGCTGATTCTTTATTTTTGCTCCCTCTCTCTTTTTTTTATGCTCACCCAAGGATACAGTCATTGATTTCAGGCGAGAGAAATGGTTGTCGGGAGGGAGGTTGGGAGAGAGAGAGATACTGGTTACCTCCAGTATGCACCTGGGACCAACCCCACAACCAAGACATGTCTCCTGACCAAGAATCCAACCCACAACCTGCAACTTAAAACTAGATCTTTTTTCATTTTAGTTCTTTATAATAAGATCTACTTTTTAACAGATGAATTTATTGTATTTACAATAATTATAATTCTTGATAAAGTTAAACTTATTTCTACCATCTTTTTTATTTTCTGATATTTTGCTTTACATCCTATTGTTCTTATTCATGCTTTCTTTTGGATTGATTGCTTCTATATTTTTTTGTCTCTGCTCTGCTGGTTTGAAAGTTACAAGCTCTATTTTTTTTTCTCTCAGTGAGTCTGTGTTAGTATATGTGTATGTTTTAATATGTACGTATATTAAAAAGTATTATATTGTTACTTTGATAATTTGTTTAATGAGGGCCAATCACTGGTAAATTGTCTTAATTTTTACCTCACTTTTCATGGTAGTTTAGTAAGATATGAAATTCTAGGTTGACAAGTATTTTTTCCTCTGCATTTTGTTATTGTACCATTAAGTGAGCCTGTGCTCAGGGTTATGTGAAATCTGCTGTCAATCACTTGTGGTCATTTTATATATTCTTGTAGCTTTTAAAGTAGTTGTAATTTAGTTTTTATTCTTGATGGTCTATAGTTTTAAAACAGTATATTCAATGGTGTACTTATCTTTATTAATATTCAGAATATAATTTGCATCTGATGATTCATCTTTCCTACTTCCAGAAGTTCTTCTGCTATTGTCTTTAGTAGTTACAGATATTGGTTGTATCTCTACATTGTTTTCTTATTTTTTTTAACTTCTTCTCCATACCTCTAACATAAATTTTCTAATTTTTTAAGTATTTTATTTATTAATTTTTTAGAAATGGGAAAGGAGGGAGAAAGAGAGGGTGAGAAACATCGTTGTGAGAGAGAAACATCAATCAGTTACCTCACGTACGTGCCTCGACCTAGGACCAAACATGCAACCCAGGCATGTGCCCTGACCAAGAATCAACCTGGCAACTTTTTGGTGTGCAGGACAATGTCCAAACAACTAAGCCATACTGGTCAGGGCTAAATTTTCTAATTTTTATGTTTACTTCTCTACTGTGCATATAAGTAGATTCCTCAATACTACCTTCCAATTTTCTAATTGTTTCTTCAGCTGTATCCAGTTTATGCCATGTTTTAGTGTTTCAATTTAGTGACTTTTTTAGTTGCTTCTTTTTTCATAGCCAGTAGCCCTTATTTTACACTGGCCTATTTTGTATAATAATTTATTTTTCTTTTATTCATGGATCCTGCCAATGATTTCTTTGAGCACACTAAATACAGACATTTTAAAATCTTAGACTATTTCACCAACTAAAATTTATTTGGAGTGAATTCATGTTTCAATGACTTCTCTTGCTGTTGCATTTCTAAGCTGTCTATTATTTTGTTTATACCAAAACTTTATTTTGCAGGCTGAAATTTCTCTCAAATTCCCTCTCTCTCTCTCTATCTCTCTCTCTACCTGAACGCAGTTGTGTGGCTACTTCTATTTGTGCCAGTCTCACTCCCAGTCTACGGTCCATTCTTTTAAAAACATTTTTATTGCATTTTTCCATTACCCTCTCTTATATCCCTCTCGCCCAGCAATCACCACACTGTCGTGCTTATCCATGAGTCTTTTTTCCTTTTAGCTCGATCTTGCTACCCCCTAACCTCCCCTGACAATAGCTGTCATCCTGCTCTCTGTCTGTGAGTCTGTTTCTATTGTGCTTGTTAGTTCAGTTTGTTCATTGGATTCCACATATGAGTGAAATCATATGGTATTTGTCTTTCTCTGACTGGCTTATGTCACTTAGCATAATGTTCTCCGGGCCCATTCAAGCTATCACAGAAAAGTAAGATTTTCTTCTTTTTTACAGCCAAGTAGTATTCCACTGTGTAAGTGTCCCTTAGTTGTTTTATCCACTCATCTACTGATGGACACTTGGGCTACGCAACCCATTCTTATAAGCTTGAAGTTGCCTGTACTGCTATGGCACTAGGGTCTTGAAGTCCACAAGCCATCATGTGGCTTGTTTCAGTTCCTATGTGTAAGGTAAGTTTTTTCCCTAGAACCTCCTTAGGCTGATAGCTTTTTATAAAGCCACAGGCCCATATTAGAAACTGTTTTTATTCCTTCCCCTGACAATTTCCTTTAGTTTTAGCTTCTGGCTAAAGGAGTGAATTGGTTCTTAACCCAAAAGGAAGTACATTTACCTTCTGTTACATTTCACGCTGATAGAGAGACGCTATCAGCATGAATTTCTGCAGCTGAACCTAAACAGCCTTGTGGTTTCAGCCTGTGTATTGGTTTCCGAGGGCTACCATAACAAAGTACAGCAAATTGGGTGACAAATCAAGGAAACATATTGTCTCGCAGCTCTGGAGGCTACAACTTTGATTTGGCAAGGTTGGTTCCTTATGACAGCTAGCTGTGAGGGAGAATCTGTTCCTTGCCTCTCTTTCTGCTTCTGGTAGCCTTGAGTGTTCCTGTGCTTGTATCTGGTATTCTCCCTGTATCTTCACATTGTCTTTCTTCTGTGTGTATCTGTGTCTGTGTCTAAATTTCTCCTTTTTATGAGGACAAAGGCATATTAGAATAAGGACTACCTTAATGACCTCATCTTAACTTCATCATCTGTAGGGACCCTATTTCCAAATAAGGTCACATTCACAAGTACTAGGAATTGGGACATCAACACCTTTTAGGGGACACAATTCAGTCTAATATCCTGATTCATTGTTTTACATCTCTTTACCAGAGAAATGTTTTATCTCGTTTTACCGAATATGTCTTTTTTTATTTTTCTTTTTGAACTATACTTATCACACTCATGAAGCGTGCTAAATCATGGACTCACTATACCATTGTACTCTGTCTTTCCCCACCAAATACAGTGTGTTCAAACCAGTTTTCTTCATGTTTATGAACCAAAGATCCTTCATTTGATTTCAACCTTATCTTACATATTCAATCTATTCTAAGAACATTTTATGTTATAAACAATGGCCATTTTGATACATAATTATCCTATGTATCAAAAGCATGGATTAAATAGCTACCATACTTGTTTAAAGGGACATGTGAAGAGTTTTTGTTTCATCTTAGTAAAACTCTTTTCCCCTGGTGTTCCATTGGTGAAATAGGCAATAAGTTATCTTTTCCAGAAGAGAATGTATTATATCCTGAACTGTGTCTCCTTCTACCACCCCCCAAAAAGATATGTTGAAACCCTAACCCTTGGTCCTTGTGAATGTGACCTAATTTGTAACATACGGTCTTGACAGGTGTAATCAAGAGATGAGGTCAGTGGAATGGGTCTTAATCCAATATGACTGGTACCCTTATAAGAAGAGGGAAATTGGGCACAGAGACACACAGGAAGAATGCCATGTGATGATAGAGGCGGAGGTGGGAGTGATGCAGGGGCAACCCAAGGAGGGTTCCTGTGCTTGCAGATGGTATTCTCCCTGTATCTTACTGTGTCGACCTATGGCCACCACAATAAGTTAGGAAGGAGCAAGGAAGGTTTCTACCCAAAGTCTGGGAGGGAGCATGGTCCTGCCAACATTTTGATTTGGAACTTTGAGCCTCCAGAACTGTGAGAGGATAAATGTGTGTTGTTTTAAGCCATCTCTGCAGGTACCACATGTGCCCCTGTCCCATTAGCGAAGCCAAGTCTCAGGACCAAGACCAGAATCAATGTGGGAGGGGATTGCAAAGGCCATGGATGCCAAGGGGGCTGCATACCTAACCTTCTATGTTTCATCTTCTCTTTATTAATCCATCCATTCATTCAACAGACTCTATGAACACCTACTAGAAGCAAAGCCCTGTGCCAGGCACTGAGGATAAAGAGAGACTTCTCAGTTCCTGGGAATTATTTTCTGAGACTGACGCTCAAAGACTAGCACATTCAATAGGATATTTGGAGGTCCCATGAGGTGGGGAAGGCCTGAGACCTCTCGGCATTCTTCACCATTGCTGCAGAAATGCTACCTCATTACTCAGGAATATCTTTTAATAGCCTCTTCCTTACAAGAAGGTGGGGTAATTGGATGAAGGTGGTCAAAAGATAAAAACTTCTAGTTATAAGTCATGTTAGGTACAACATAATGACTACAGGTGACCCTGCTGTATGGTATATTTGAAAGTTGTTAAGAGAGTAAATATTGGGTTCTTACCATGAGGGAAAAAACTTGTTTTTTATATCTATATAATATGATGGATGTTAACTAAATTTATTGTGGTGATCATGTCACAATATATGAAATCAAGTTATTATACTTTAAACCTTAAACTTACACATTGCTGCATGCCAGTTATCATTCAATAAAACTGAGGAAAAAGAATAATCAAAAATGAAAATATAGACACAAAAATTTTTAATGTTTTCAGTATATGTAGTCTAAAAATTATAACTGAAAAATTACTATATTTCTTTGGTAACATATAAATTCAAGCATGAAATTATGTAAAAACAACATTTCTACAAAAATAGCCAAATGTCAAAGGCAGTTTACTGGAGCAATTAAAACTTTAATCCTTAGGACCCACATTGTCTGCTTGCTTATAGGAATGTATACCTGCTGTAACTTCAAATAAAAATCCCTTTAAAAATAACTGTCTGAAGCTTGCATATTAAGTATATTTATTTTTCCTTAGGATTAAAGCAGATTGCATTGGGAGCCCAGTCTTTCATAAAAAGGGGGGTGGGGAATAGAGTTGGGCCTTCATTTTCTCACAAAAGGCACAATGTGAAACGCATCTGTGAACATCGCATAATTTGTTATGTTCTACAAAGAGGTGGGTTTTTGTTAAACACATACCAAAGCTATTTGGTTCTGTTTCACCAATGATGTCTATTCAGGTCCAGAAAAGAAATTGGCCTCGGAAGAGTGAAAGGAGAGTAAATTTTTCTTTAAAATTAGATACAGATTATCACTTCAAAATGCGGGAGGGAATTTTACAAGTGACGGTGCACTGATTAGCTTTCCAATGGACATCCAGTCCTTTATGAAACACATACTAGCTGTGGTCAGCTGTGACCAATGTGGTTTATTACTCTCTAGAAGAGCTGAACTGAGATTACCCATCTAATTTAATTGAGAAATGTTGGGTGAACTTGAACTATTTCATGGACATGAATGACCAGAGAATTTATTTGATAAGACATTAAGGGCTGAATATGGTAACTATCTCTTTGATGGTTTGATACAGACATTTCTTTAGTTCATTAGCATGTCTTTCGTATTTTTGTTGTTGTTGTTGTTGTTATTACTCTTGTGGTAATTACATGAGCAGCTTAAATAAAAAAGAAAAAAATTGTATAAGATCATTATGAAAAATTTTTCCCATTACTTTTCTTGGTAAATATTCATGACAGTTTCTATGTTGTGCAGCAATCTTTAAAAAGCAATGTCAGTTACCTATTGTTAGGTAAAGGAACCTAACAATAATTAAATTATGGGAAAACTAATAAGTCCACTGTTTTTTCGTGTAGTAGTTCCTAAATTATTCATAAATTTTGTTTTCTGATTTCATTAAGGAAAAAAAGTGTCAGGAAGCTGACATGTTATTTACCGATCGCTGTTACTTTTCTTTGTAAACTGAGCAGTGTGAGCTATCACTACAGTAACTTTATCTATAATATGGCACACAAGGTGGCGTCAGATGATAAAGTGCTTTCTCTTCGTATGTCTGCTAACATTTAAGATAGTTTGCTGTATCCCCAATGACCGATACTAACATGTAATTTAGATATTTGCATCTTTTCTTACTGTATTTAAATATTACACCTTTTAAACTCTTCACAGAAATGCAGCAATAGAAACTCTAAGAATAAATTACAAAATCACACTTCATGTACTAGTGATTCTTTAAATGGAATTTTTCATTGAAACTTTGTCATTAAAATAGAAAGGCCTATTGGTTGTGCCCATACAAGCATAATAAATTGTATATGTTTGTGATACTGAATGACTCTTGCCCATATGCTGCACTGCAAAGCTACATGAATGAGGCATTTACCAAATCAGGCCCACCACATTAAACAGAAAAACAATCTTTATTCATGGTAACTTATCAGTTTCAATTAATCAACCTCAACAATGGAAATTCTGATGTGTTCAAGCAACTTGAAAGCAATAGGTCATCTCCAGGGCAGCCATGTTGTGTCTTTGTGCTTAAGGTTTCAAATAAAGCTACATCTCCAATAAATAGACATACATATACATACATACATGTGCATATATATACATACCAGTGGATGGCAACAGACATGCCATGTGGTATCAATAAAATGTACATTTATTCTTGATGATTTTTGGCGTAGGAAATGTAATTATTTTCCTTCAAGTATTACTATTTGAGCTCTGCAAGTTTAAACAAAAGGAAAGAAATTTCCATTGGATAACCATCCTTTCAGTTTCTGTGCTGCTATGTGAATAGCATTGTGCAAACCATTCCAATGGTTTTGAAAAGGGGTAACCATTGGTTTGATTTGGTTACACGGTTTAGTAAAGAGCTCCCTCCCACTGCCTTAGGGTCTGTGAAAGGTCTGTGACCTGTTTAGAACTGCCAAGTGAAATGTCATGTCGCCCCTCCCAAATGGGAGTATCTGCATTCATTTGATCAGTATAAAAAATGATTGGGGATGGCGAGATCAGTGCTTTTGAATTGCAATTTATAGCAGTTTACAAAAATGCACATTGTTGGAAAAGAAAACATGGAAGTGTTTCTTTCTAAATTGCATTACCTGTGAAATGTCATTAGTCTTTTAAGGATATTTACATCCTTTTTTAAAAATTATTTAAGAGGCTTATTTCAACTAAGGAAACCCAGAATTGTATTACATTATGATTTTGTAACTTGAACTTTGGTTTAATAGCAAAATTTAAGAAAAACAATGTGTTTGAGTTCTTAGGATAAACATAATTTCATCTTCATCTAATTCTCTAAGACAGTCTTTGCTAATCAGTTGCATTAACAGAAGATTCCCACTTATCTCTCCTAGATTATAAAGGAGTTTCACTTGCTGGTAAATCCCTTGTCTGCTGATTTCTAATAGTGAGTCTAAAATCACAGGCATACTTAACTCTACCAGCTTTCAACAGTTTATTACCAAAACTTCTTTGTCAGATGAATACTTTCTAAATTATGTTACCATTAGACTCATCTACATGGATGCATAGTTTCATAAAAGAAAAAGGTTATTTCTTTTTCATTTAATGTGTACATAATACATGGACTTTATCTAAAAAGTTGAGGGAGGCTGTTCAAGTTCATAAAGGCTTAATGCAGCCACATTCTGGGGTGCAGGAAACAAATGCGCTTTGTACTAGATCCAGGAATCTTCAACGCTCCATTTCTTTACCTTAGGCAGTGGGTGGAACTGGGCATCATTTTAAAGAATCCTTTTAGTAAGAAAAGTTACCTTGAGATAAGGCCTTCAGAACTTCCTTGGTTGATCCTTGACTGGAAAAAGAAAGGCCCTGCTTCAGAAAAGACTTGACCCAGATAGTCTCCCTAGCATTCCACTTTGAACCTCCCAACCATTGAAAGCCGAGGTTGTCACGTTTTTATCTTTGTTCATGTTAAGCCTTGGAATGACAGCCTGGCTCTGTGTTCCCCTCTCCAACTACCCAGGCTCTAAGTGTCCACATTGACACCTACCGGTGACCGCAGGCTGCAATTCTTTGTCGCCTTCTCCACGCCTCTGGCTTTCACTGGGATTAGCTCAGGGCTTTTGTTCCCCTTCAAAGCTGGAACATCATATCCCATGTTTTGGCTTTCCTGTCTCAGACCCCCAACGCTTTCCTCACGATTTACATACCAGGTGAATGTCCCTCCCCACAGAGCAGAGAGCCCAGCCAGTGGGGGGAGGGGAGGGCAAAACCTCCCCATTTCCACCTTCAGAACACTGCCAATCTGGTTTTCTTTCCTTCTCATTCATAATGTTCTATTTCATGTGGAGGGAAGATGGAATATATAACTGGACATTTAAATCTTAGGTCCCTGGACCCCAACACAAGATAACACCGCTCCTAAAAAATAAGAAAATAAAAACACTCTTACAGTGGCTCTTAATTCTAGAGGGGGAACTCTCACCAGAAGGTCATTTACAGGCACCTGGAACCATTTCCACAGTCTGGAGCAGCAAGAAAACCGTCTCAGAAGCCAACTCGACTAACAGTGATGCGCTAGCACTGATGCACAGAGCTAAGGGTGAGGAGTGGTTTATGTATCGTAATTAAAGCAAATGTCATGTCTCTTCAGCATTCCGCATTTTTAGTGAGGTTATCACCGAAAGAAGAGCCTTTGGAGATGCCATCGATACCCCAGAACACCTCAGTGAGCGTTATGGATGTTACTGAGTACCGCCTCAGACCCTTGGGCTGCGCAGAGAGGGACTGCAGAAAGAGGCCTGAGGGCTGTCTCCCTCGTAGAGGATTCTATCTTAGTGGCGTTTCTAACGTAACTGTTCTGTATCAGGATTTCTTCGGATACCAACAGGAGCACGGCACTGGAAGTGAATGCGAAGCGCTCCCCCTGAGCACAGCTTTCCAAGCCCTTAAGGAAACCGCTTGCTGGTACTGGGTGAGCAAGGTGCACAAACCCGAAGGGCTGCCAAATCCTTGTGGTGCTTGCCGGTCTCAGCGGAGTGCTCTGACGCCTTAGGAAGGAACAAATTTCAATTAAAAATTCCGGGGCACCAGACTCTCTAAGCCCTCCAATCTCCCTATGAACCCAAGTCAAACTGATACGCTGCCTTCTCCCCTGCCCACTCATCCCCAAGACCATGAAGCTTAAAACCTGGAAGGGACTTAAAATTTTCTCTGGAGAGGACCACTCTTTTCTTATGTGGAATAGGGCTCCTCGCCTTATTTGAGAAGCCATAAACAATTCTTGAGTAAGTAGAAAAACTCTTATGAAGTTTTGCTTCCTGGTAAGTTTCAAGATCAAGATTCAGGTATACATACTTTTGGGAATGTCAGGTGCCATTTACTGAAGGGCAGGTTTGCTTTCTTTAGTGCATAACGTTCAACTTGGTCAAGTTCCCCTAACTACACGTTGGGCCCTGAATGTAGCCCAGTTTCAGAATCATAGGTCCTGGATTACAGTTTTCTAAAGCTATTTATTAAGTCCCAGAAATATATTTGTGGTAGCTGTCACATAAAGTTGTTATGTTCTGGTGCAAAAGAAAGCTGGAGAGGCGATTTATTTGTGCCTAAAAGGCACCGGCTTTAATTGGACGGAGATGTGTTATATTCAACGCAAGTACATGGGGTGGCATGGCACCCTGGAGCATTATTCGAGCTTCATCTACTATGCACTATATGCCACCGCCTCTAAAGGAGTGTTGCCCTAGAAACTTGTTTTAAATCTGCTGCTATATATCAACACCTTGTTTTAGCAGTCCTTGGCTGAATTACAGTTACACAGTTTGGCGCTTCTTTCAAATTTCCTCCCATCAGTTTGGCTAAAGAAAGGAATTTTTCTCCTTTAGAAATGAATTGGCTTAATTAGTAAGTAGATTAATGGCAATTGCTGGTGAGTTGGTTTCCAGCAGAGTTTCACCAGAGAGGGTTAATCGGAGTCAGGTCTGGAATCTTTCCCAGAACTGGCTGCCAGCCATTTCCACCACCCAATCAACCCTACAAGAAATGGAGGAAATGAAATAGAATTTATATTCTCTGTGCTATCATCCTAGACAGAAATGCCTTGGAAGCAGCCTCCTGGTTGGGTGCAGAAGAGACTGTTTCATTTCAAAATTTTCACACAAACCCTGAAAGGTTCCACTTTCAAGATTTCTCTAGGTACCAAGGCAGAATTTCAAAAGCACAAGTGTCTCCACAAAACACTGAGGGTGCCTTGGAAATGCGTGAGGCTCTTAGTCAATTTCAGGTTTTACAGAAGTTGCAAAAATCTTCCAAGTCCCTCACTAAATCTACCAGAAGCCTTTAAAAAGCGTAGTTGTGTTTTGCAGCCTTTTCACTAATTTTTCCATAGTGTTAAAAATGCATTCATAGTTTAACTTGCAGCTGCATTAGTCTTGCAAAAAAGAAAAAAGAAAAAAAGTCCCTGCTGAGAAATGCATATAATAGGAAAAACAGATCGGCTGGACAGCAGTGTAATTAATGCCAGAAAGGGCTGAGGCCGGTTTCATAGTTTGTCTTTTGAGGATATCAAGACGAGACCTGGTGAAAAATGACGCATGCTTTAGCATTTCAGAAAGCTGGCAACTGGCAGTGCTTTTCCTTTTTCCTTTGACTTTCTGCCTCGGAACAAAGAGGTCGGCAGAACTAGCTAGGTTGTAATGAGTTCTATGTCCCTAGCACATTAAGTGCATCATGGAAACATATTGTATCGAAATAGTTTGGAGGAGAATACTGGGGATGAAAGAGAATGGGTGCTTTGATCAGCTCCCTGGGGTCCTGAGCACGCACAGACTGACTTGCAAGGAGTTATTCAGCTCCAGCTAGACACACTTACAACACCATTCAAAGGAATTTGCATATCTGTAATTTATCACATTGGTCCAGAACATTTTTGCAAGGTAAATAAAAGTTGGCTGAATAAAAAAAATCAATCATCACAGATATAGAGGAAACTGTGAGGCCAGTCTTTCCATTAAAAACATAAATTATATGTCCAGGAAAGCATGACGACTTAGAGACTAACCTTATTTTATAAACTGTCATTAGAGCTACAGGTTAAAAGCACTGACAAAGACAAGAGTGACCACTATTTCTTTGTACTCCTACTTGAGGGGAGTGTCTTTGCAGCTTTCCACTGGAATAAAGGCAGAAAGCTGAATGAGATGTGTGTGGCTATAACCAGCCCATGACATGCAGAGAAAAATTAGTATATATTTTGAGAAGATGTGAAAGATGGCTTAATCTCCCCGGCGTCTGCAGGTGCTAAGGTTAAATCTCATTTCTTCTCCTGTGGATTTCATTGCCAAGCCCTGGTTGCTGAAGCTCAAGAGGATGAAATGCCCTCATACCCAGTCAATAGGAAAACTTGCTTTCCAATGTCCCATGAGAAAAAGTGAAAATTTAACAGGCAGGCATTGTTCAGAGTTTTTAAACAGCCCAGTTAAACAGCAAACAAGAATCTTCAACTTGACCTTGGAAAAGGCTGTGTGCCTGCAGATAATCTATCAAACAACTCTGGATGACAATGATATATTTCAAAGTATTGTCAGATGAAAAGATTGATAAACTTGTTGCTGCAAAGAGAGAACTTTGGAAGCAGGCAACAGGCAATTTAGCGCGCTGTTGCCTCTGCTGCCTCCTCTGTCCTTGCCGCCCCATCCCCGCCCCTCCACTCTCGGCCTTGGGGCCAACTCAGTGGAAGAGGACCAGTAAATCAGCTCTGTAATATTTCTTAAGGGGCACGGAAAAGCTGTGAACAGTACTTCTCATATTAAACGCAATATTTCTTTGCTTTCGTGGGGAACAAAAGTCATAGCAAGACGCCTTTATGGCTAATTCAGTCAAAGGCACATCTCGGCTCCCCCCGCAGAAAGGTCAGTGTCGTTGTGTTTGGTCCACCGAGGGGGTGTTTTCACACTGAAAACTGAGCCAGCTGTCCCTGTCATACCCTCGCCATTGGGGACTTCGCCCTAGCCATGGTTATTAGGCACACTCTACACCTGCAAAATATACCGATTTCCAAGACTTTTCAAGACCCCCCTCCCTGTTCTCATGCCCCCTCCTTTTTCGTCTACTAAACTTTGACAACACAATTCAAGCCCTGGATGAAAGCGCTGCAAGAAAGAGGAAAGCTGGGGAGGGGGCAGCTCAGCTAGCTTCTCATGGTGTCTATTGAGCAGCCATCAAAGAAATGAGGCGTCAAGTATGTTTTCAAAAGTAAGAAAAAACTTCCAAATAATTGCTAAGAGGCATCACACATTTGCTATTGCCACAAATGAGAACTGTTGAACCCTAATATTTTGGGGTATTTTATGTATTAGGTGTGGAGTTGCAGCCAAGTATCCTTCATTTAGAAGTGGCTCTTTACACTTTTATTTATTTATTTATTTGTTTGTTTGTTTATTTTTTGTATTTAGCATGTCACTGACCAAGGTCAGGAGATAATCTTTCTCTGAGTTGTCCCACATCTCCTTTTTAAAATCCAAATACCAACACACTGTTGTTATCCATTTCACAACTGTTGCCCAACAGCATTTCATAATAAAACTCCTTCTGGAAACATCTACTAGCTAACCTCATCAACATTCTAATGCCAAAGGCTTGTGTTCAAAGATAGGTGACGACATAGCTGTCTGGGGGGGACTCTCAGTGGCCCAAACAAGAAAGGCTCTAAAGGGGTCCTGTGCAATCGCTGTAAAGTAGAGGTAGAACTAGAAATAATTCAGAAAAGAATTACTTTTAGAGTGATGCTGCCCTAAGTACCAGTTCTTCCAAGAAAGGAGTGCAAAAATAACTAGCTGTCTCTAGGAGCACTTGCGGGTGGGGGTGGGGGAGGTACGAGAATGAGAAAAGAGGATTTAATTCGGCCGTGGTGTCTCTAACCCCAATCTTTGTTCAGCCCTTTCACCCAGATTGCGAGGAGCTACATGAGAATTTCCCAGAAGTGGGCAAAGTGCAGGGTTGCCCAGAACGCCTTGGGTTCCCACGACACAAGCAGGGGTGAAGCACGCTACGCGGCACAGGAGACGAGGAGGAGTGCCTCTCCCCAGGGGGGGAACCCTAAACTCCTTCCTGGCGCCTGAGGGCCTCCACACAGCCCGTCACCAGAAAGCAAGCCTCCCGCGCCTCCCCTAAGCGATGTCAGCGCAACAGGTTGTTTGGAACAGGTGCCGACCGCCCAGGGAAGGCGTTGGCATGAAGCTGCGGGGATCAGCCAAGGGCCGAAACCCTCCCCTCAAAGCAAGGGTAGATCCCCAGGGCCCCGAAAGTAGGGGCGGACTGGAAACCTGCGCCCCAGCCACTGCCACCGCTAGCGCCGGCGACTCTGCCCAGAGGCGAAACCAGCTCGCCTCAGCTTGCGCCCCGGGCCATGGGGGCCCTCTGTAGGCGGCCGCCCAAGGGCTTCCCGCCCGGCCAGGAGGCGTAGTTCCTCCGGGCCTCCCCAAAGGAAGCCTTGGGTTCCATCTCCTGTCCTTGTTCAGGCCGTTCTCCCCCATCTCTGCTCGCCGCTTCCTAGAGCCCCTCTTGGAGACTTCCATGCGCAAAGATAGCAGAACTGCGGAGAGCCTGGCGCCGGGCAGCCACTTCCAGCCTCC